TATGCCCCATCATTTTTATAGATAAAATGAATTTTCAGCCATATAACTAACCCATGTCCTAGACTCCATGTTGCCATGTTGGTTGGATTAGGTAGATTAGAACAGGGTGTTTACCAACATTCACATTTCTATGTTCTTGGACAATTAACCACTTTCCTGCCGCCATATAGCAGAAATACTGCTACAGGGTGGTAGAGGTGTGCAAAATCATGGTGTGTGTATATATACGTGATCTTGCATTTCCGGGTAGGGGGTGGGCACGAGCCATACCCGCGCTGCCAATGGCTGCCTCACCTGTCGGTCACCGGGACCCGGCTGGTGAATCCCCGCCAGCAATCGCTGTGTGTCACCGATGGCAGAGAGACCTGTATTTAAACAATACAGATCTCTCCCCTGTCAGCTCCTGCACATTACTTTGTATTGCTCTGCATAGCAGTGCAATACAAAGCAATGTGCTTACACAGTAAAGCGTACACAGTAAAACACAACACAGCACACAGTTAACCCTTTGATCACCCCAGATGTTAACCCCTTCCTGCTCAGTGTCATTAGTACAGCGTCAGTGCTTTTTATTAGCACTGATCACTGTATTGGTGTCACTGGGGGTGTCAGTGACAGTCCCCCCCCAGTGTTAGAATGCCAGCCACATTCCCGCTATAATTCGCTGATTGTCGCCATTACTAGTTTTAAAAAAATAAAAAATTCCAGTATCTATACCGCTATTTGTAGACTCTATAACTTAACTTTCACGTAAACCAATTTAATTTACACATGTTGGGTTTTTTTTTTTCTTCTAGCAAACACGTAGCAAAATACATTTTGGCCTAAATTTGTGACGAAAATTGATTGATTTTTTTTTTTTTTTTTTTTTTTTTTTACATTTTTACTGGACATGTTGTTTAATAGCAAAAATTCCAAAATATTGGGGTTTTTTTTCTCAAAATTGTCGGTCATTTTTGTTTGTTTTTATAGCGCAAAAAATAAACACAGAGGCGAACAAATACCACTGAAAGAAAGCTCTATTTGTGGGAAAAAAAGGACATACATTTAATTTGGGTGCAGCCTTGCATGACCGCACAATTGTCAGTTAAAGTAACGCAGCGCCATATCGCAAAAAATGGCCTGGTCAGGAAGGGGGGTAAATCCACTGGAGGGCAAGTAGTTAACATCTACCTTGTCACATTCCATGGGGATTCGAGTAAGGTGACTGAGTTGCTGAAGTGGCTCTAAATGCTGGGATGTATTACCAACAATCATTTGAACTGAGGAAGCCATTTGACTGAGTGGTGAAATTTCAGCATGAGGAACAAGTCCATATGAATATGATTTACTACCAGCTAACACAGTTAAGAATATTTCTTTTGTCGAAATGGCGTAGCTTTTCTAAAATTATAATCAAAATATATTGTTTGGCACTTTAGAATGATTTAGCGTTGGGTGCATATATATGACAGGCAGATAAGGCAGATCCATTTTTTGTAATGCTACAATATATTTGTATTGTATAGAGTTCAAGAGAGGACTTATTCCCTTTGGTCATACCTGTGGAAGCAGCATTTGGATTACATGAACCCCCTTTACAGACCAAACCACAGTCAGACATTGGGCATGCTGCGACCTAATACAACACCATCCTCTTTCAAGTAAGTCTCCTTTCTGTTTTTCTACTCAATGTTATTTGCCAGAATCAATGAAATGTTCTCTGTTCTGTATTGTGCGTATGAGGTATTGGCTTATTAATAAAGGCAGGTTTGAGCAGCAATTTTTACTGCTGAAATTCTTTAACGCAGAATTACAGGGTACCTTCAGGCTAAAGATTAGGTTTTGGGCTAGGAGTAGGTGATAAATAACATTAGAGGGTTGTTCAAGGAAAGGATTAGGTTAGGTCAGGGGTGTCAAACTTGATTTCATTGTGGGCCGCCTCAGCATTATGGTTGCCCTCAAGGGCCTCAGGTGTATCTCTAAGATTAGATGTCCAGAGCACCCCACTCCCCCTTCAGATGTCATGAACCCCCTACCCACCCTTACATTACAGGGCACTCCCTTACCTTGTGCTGTTTCCTGGAAGAAGCTTGGGGGTGGGGGGAAGCTTTAAAGCAGAAAGTGCAGGGTCTGGAGGAGGACTAGAGGAGGGCTGGAGTCACCTGCAGGATCTGGCAGAGGAGTTTTGTCATCCTTTCTGCTGGTGAGACAAGGTGGGGATGGACATGAGGGGGGTGCTGCAGCAGCAAGAGCAGTGCAAGGGCCACATGAAATGGCCTAGATGGCCATTCTGCCCACAGGCCTTGTGTTTGACAACATGTGTGTTTGATTATGGAATTGAGTTTATTGATTATCCTTGGGTTAAAGTAACACTAAACAATATCTTCAAAAATAATCCATTCCCATCCACTACTTAATCGTCCTGTAATCCTTTTTTTCATGCAATAATTTGTTATGGTGATCCTGCTTCTGTGTAACATCCTCCATGAGCTACAAACCTCTCTAAGCTCCCCCCCCCCCCCCCCCCCACACTTCCGCCTGTTTAAAATGAGCAGTGCACTATACATTCCCAACCACACTTTCTTAAAATAAATCTGTCTTAACAGTCAGGGGAGTACTCCACTATATCAGGACCTTTTCTCTAAAGTGCCGCTAATTTAAATTGCATAACATAGGTGTCAGAATTTATTTTCACAATCCCTTGTTATTGAAAACTCTTCCAGCGTGGTCATAATATCTTGTGATAAAGCATATACAGTGCATCCAGAAAGTATTCACAGCACTTAACTTTTGCCACATTCTGTTATGTTACAGCCTTATTCCCAAATGGTTTCAATTAATTTTTTTCCTCAACATTCTACAAACAATACCCCATAATGACAATGTGAAAGAAGTTCGTTTTTGAAGTTGTGAAAAGATCTCAATGATGATCAGTGGGATCAGGATGCACCAGAGCCCCATTTTTGAGTGTCATGGCAAAGGCTGTGAATACTTATGAGCATATTATTATTATTATTATTATTATTTTTTTTTTTTTTTTTTTAATAAATTGCAAAACATTTCAAAACTAACTTCTTTCACGTTGTCATTTTGGGGTATTGTTTGTAGAATGTTGAGGAAAAAAATGAATTGAATCCGTTTTGGAATAAGGCTGTAACATAACAAAATGTGGCAAAAGTTGTGAATACTTTTTGGATGCACTGTATCTAATATAAATTTGAAAAAAACAAAACACAGCTTAGGATATACTACACATTAACTGCAATTAAAGTGCTCCTAAGAGAGTGTAGGTTATTTTTTTTATTTAATTTTATTTTTTAGGTAGAGGGTAACCTTTAGAGATTTGTTTCTGGTCTAGGGTTTGGTTCCGGATAAAAGTAATTTTGTAACTAACATTTAAGCTATTTACTAAATGTAAAAATTAATTGTATTATTTTTTTTAATGGTTTTTCAATATTTGCCTGAAGTTCTGTTTTTAAAGTGTTACTTAACCCAGGATCCTGCATTCACTATATCTGGTCTCCCACAGTACACAGAACGTGGAAATGCAATTATTTTAGTAAATATAAACTGATAAATACCTTTTCTCATCAGCAGTTAGAGCAGTCTTGTCACCTATTGTCCGTGTCCAGCCAAGCACTTGTAGGAGGAGTTTTCTCTAGGAGGATGCAGAACCCCTATGCTTATCACATTCACTCTCACAAAAAAAAAAAAACCTCTCTCGCAATACCCACCAAATTGAGGATATGCAGTGTCTCCACACAATATGTCTTTATCAGGGAATAAGAGGGGTGCATTGGTAGGAGAGGATCAGAGAAGTCCAGATCAAAGATCCTTTTTATACAATGCAGAGGATTAACCCCTTAGGTTCCACAGTGAGTATAACAAGCATGCTTTACTGCATATACAGACTGATTTTACTGTTGTGGGCTTAGTAACGCTTTAAGCTACCTCCTGTGGCTAAAATCATTTTCCTGGAGATTGGTTCTAAGGACTTGTAATTCTATTTGGATGACTAAAATTTGCACATAAGGTAACAAAAAATAAACATTGCATTGCAATCACAGTTTATAAAATTAAAACAGAGGCACGATGCAAACACCGATTTTCACAAAAGGTTTTCTGGTTTTCTCTAAGGTTTTCTCTAAGGCCTAGGCATTTGGATATTGCTATTATGACTGAAAGTAGTGATTTCGGTAAATAACGCATACATTATTGATGGGTATTGGGCAATTAAAAGACTATTTAAATATTGCTTGACTTCGGAATCCGCAGTTAGAGCAGTCTTGTGACTATTGTCAGTGTCCAGCCAAGCACTTGTAGGAGGAGTTTTCTCTAGGAGGATGCAGAACCTCTATGCTGATCACATTCACTCTCACAAGAAATAACGCCTACATTATTGGGTATTGGGCAATTAAAAGACTATTAAATATTGCTTGACTTCGGAATTTATCTAGAAATAAGATTTAAACAGACTTTACAGATACTGAAAAGGTCAGTATGTTGTACAATCACATTTAGATTTACCAACAACCATGCAATGCAAAGGCCTAACTGATTAGGTAAAAACTGAATGAAAAAACTGAATGTATTGTTTAGGTAGAATCAGGGGCGGACTGACCATTCAAGCATTCGGCACTGCCCGAGGGCCTGGGCTCAGTAGGGTGCCCCACAGAAATGCCCCTGATGCCTTTCATTGGCTTTTTCATAGGCTTTTTTTGGGTGTGTGCGAGGACAAGGGCCCCATGACCCCTTATTGCCCAAGGGCCCCATGAGTTGTCAGTCCACCCCTGGGTAGAATTTTTGCGTTGCATAGTTATTAGAACTTCAGAGAGATTGCGAGGGTTGTAACATTACCAGTTTAAGTAATTTTGAATGACCCCTTTTGATCAAATACTGTAGTTGATGAGTACAGTAGTAAAGTGAAGACAGGAGTGAGGGTGATAGAGATATATATGCTGTGGGGTGGAGAAGAGGAGTGAAGGAGAGAGAGAGTTTGAAGAGAGAGGATACAACTGTGAGAGGAGGAGTAGGGAGTGCATGTTAGAGTGGTGAAATGAAGAAGCAGACTGGGTAAGAGCTGGATGGGGAAACAGGTCACCTGTAGTCTGTTTAGTATTTGAAGTCGTCTACTTCTCGCTTTGTGCATTCGCTGAAGTGCAGAGCAGAAGTGCAATGCTCAATACTTAAGCCAAGGTTAATACTTTATCCAAGACGATAGTTGCCAATGCTCCCCTAAGGAAGGCCTAAATTTATACTGAGTTGGCTGGGTGTACTGCCAATTAATCAATTAGGAACGCATAGCAGAGACACATGACTAGCAGGGCAAACTTCTCACACCAAAGGAGGACTACAAGAGAGCAGGAGGGCAGAGTTGTAAAGATTAGGATCAGCTCATAAATTTGGGTTAGACAATAAGAGCAAAATAAACACCACAGTAATATGGACCAGAGTTAAAGATTTTTGAAGCAGTAAGATTGACCAATAAGAACATTTGATAGTTATGAATCAGCTTCAGTTAGAGGTGGATTTTAAAAGCAGTATAGATTACCATATAGCAATGCAGGGTGAATTAGCATTTATACAAGGCATGGGCGATGGTACAGATGGATATTGCTCGCAGACACTTCACTTGAGAACATAGAAAATAGAGGTATGTGGAAGAAGTAGTGGCTGTTGTGTGACTATTTTGGGAACATCCAGGGATTTGTCTTCAACTGGAACTTGGTGGAACTCAGTTCCACCACCTCTGGCTCAGGTCCTCTGCTCACCAGTATCACTTGTAAACACAGAAGTAGAGTGTCTTTGTTTACAAGTGACAGCTTGTATCCCAATGGATCTCTTGATCAGCTCCCACTGAGTGCAGGATGGGGAAAAGGGAGATGCAGGCGCCCAGGGTACAGTGTGGATGCTGGCACCTCCCACTGGATGATCTCCCTGCAAGTGAGAGAGGTGGAGCCACCTACAGTGTGCGGGGAGGTAATGGAAAAGAAGAGGGGTGAAAGTGAGATGTGGGATGGGGGATGCAGAGGTAAGCAGCTATAGAAGAAGGCTGAACTCGGCACTCTGTGTGTAACGCACCGATGAACTCTGCAATATGTATGTAGCGCACTCCTGAACTCTGCACTGTGTGTGTAACCTCACCTAACGCTGTTGCCAGGGAATGGGAAGATCGCCGCAGCGATCGAATCTGCACATGCGTAGAATCCTGACAAAACGTGCAGACGGGCACTAGGACCCAGGCGCGCCTGTCACCAATGACGGCACCGGGCAAGCACTAGGACCCAGGAGCGCCTGTCAGGAGTCAGGCGGGCTATTTAAACCCGACTCTTGCAATGCTCAAGTGCCGTATGGTCTTTCCTCTGTTCTGTGAGTTTACTTTGCTGCTGACCCTGCTTGATCCTGATCTGCTGACTTCTCCTGCTCTGACCCCTGGCTTGCCTGACATTCTCCTGCCTGCTCCTGCACTTTTGATCTCCAGTTGCCAAACCTGGACTGTGACCCGTTTATTCCTCTGCCTGCCATTTGTACCGACCTGCTCCGCTGTTACCGACCCGGCCTGTCTGACCTTGCTTACTCTACCTCCTCACATCAGACTCTCACCTGCTGCGTACCGCTGACAGGTGCCTCTACCACAGCTGGTTGCACCCAGGGGTCGCGA